CCCATCGATTCTCGATTCGGGTACTTGTTCGAGTATTTAATTTATGAAGAACCGTTCGATTCGGTTCGGTCCGGTCCGGTTCGGTTCGGGACTTTTGGACACCCCTAGTAAGTAATGAGAAAGGAGACAGCGGGACAGGGAGAAGTCCAGTAAGCAAAGTTCGACACACAGTTTTCTTAGAAATTCAACGACCATTTTTGCCAAATTAAATTAGAGCAACCCAGACACAGCTAAAAAAAAAAAAAAAATTCTTTCCATGGTTCATTTTCGCCAATAATTCAAGAACATCGTCACAAGAAAAAACACCTGACGAAAAAGTTGCAAGTTGTAAGAGAAGCAAAATATATGCAAATCCATTGATTTTTTGCTATGATTACTGGGTTGATGTCGAAAGTACTGGATTTGAGCTGAGGTTAGAATTTGGAGGCTGATTTCCAGATTATTCTGATCTGGCCAGTTCATGCTTGTTTATTTTGAAGTTAGCCCCTGTTTAAACCAAATTATTGTAGAATAAGAATGAAAAATATAGTCGTTATTGAGATCCACACAAGAGATAGAAATTTTGAATTTAAATGTAGATATGATGGATAACGGTCATATTTTTCATTTTAATGAGATAATAAGGTGACTCAAACGGGGCCTTAAATTGTATGTTTTCTTTTAATCAAGGGTCCTTGAAGAATCTATTCTGAGTGGAAATTTGTGCTTGTCCTGTGTAATTATGAGGAAATTGAAGTGGGTTTTATGGGGGGTGGGGAGGGATAAACAATATTTTCCTTTCCTTTTTAATTTTTAAATTATATTTTATATGTTAATATTATAAAGTTACCATTTTACTCAGTCAAAAATGGTCAGACTTTAATTTTTTTGGTCAACTGGTGGCATCTTTGACAGAAACATCCAAAAGGGCCTCACCTACAACATTTGAAAATGTTAGGGATGACAGTTGCAACAAATCAAAAGTTTGGAAAAAGCCTGTTAGTGTTTCAAAAGTTTAGAGCCTTTGCTACAATTATCACTAAAAACTATTTTAAAAGGTTCGAATCAATCAGTTCACCTGAAAAAATTGGATTAGTTTTAACAATTCATGGTTTAGAAAGGAAGATATGTTTTTGGTTTGTTTAATCTTTAAATGAAAAATTTATTAATTCGGGATACTAAGGGAATTAGTAGTAATTTCACGAAATGAATAATAACGAGTAATAATTATGAAAGTATTTTATTTTGAGTGAATTTATAAATTTGTAAATTGTGTATTATTGGTAACTGTTAAGGAAAAAGGACACATAGTCAATACATTTCAACTCTCGTTTTCTTCTTGGGTAAAAAATACAGTTGTTCCCTTAAATTTTAGTGAAGTTTCAATTTTGCCCGCGTTTGACAGATTTATGAATGCTAATTTATAAATTATTTATATTATAAATTAGTTGACTTTCAATTTTTTATCACACATTTCAATAGACTCACAAATATTATTTACTTATTCACTACTTATTTCTATTTATTTATATATTAAACAATTTATAAAATAGAAACACATAGAAAACGAAAGTGAAGTTCAGTTATAATAAGTTTTAGAAATAATCAAGTTCAATGATTCCAAAAAGTTGTGATTGAAAATGAAACAAAAGTATCAGGTGATCAAAAGAGTGTTACCATTTCCAAGAGCTCCAATCGAATCGGTATTAAATGGTGAAAAGAAATTAAAAGTGCGGTAACGAATTCGGAACAAAAGCAAGTATGGTGATTGAAATAAAACGTTTTTGAAAGTTGATAGACCAACAGTGTTTTTACCATTTCCTTTATTAGGGAAGAGGTTCTTTTAGAATTTACGGGGATAATTTTTATATGTGCAAATTGAAAAATTCTCAAATCTGTGCAATGATTAGTCGCGACTTTTCAAATACAAATTATGTTCTTTCTATTTTGCTAAATTTAAATTCCATCTGAATTATTTTAAGAAATAAAATTCCATCCGAGCAATTTTAGTTCTTGTTTATTTCGTAAGTGAAGAATACTATCAACACTTTGGTTATATTAATTTTAGAAGAAGTGTTGTATTATGGGAGACAGACTTCCATTCAATCATATTAGCACGAGTGCATGGGAGACAAAATATGTCTTAAAGAGATTTCTATTCAAATACAACGCTTCATTTCATTTCCTTCTAATTTCTACGTTTTAGTAAATCACATTTGGTGCATATTTTAATGAGCGCATCTTGATTTCGGTAAATCAAAACTCTATTTGATAATTTGCACTAGCAAGTCATGATTTTATCATATTTGTATGCAATGCACTTTTTAACTTCGGTTGAAAGGAATATAATTATACACCATTTATCCAACAATTTCTCTATATTTTAAAAAAAAAAAAAAAAATTAGCTATTTGTGATTTAAGCTTTTATTTTTCATAGGCTTTATAGTTGTAGCTATGCATTCCCATGAGAGATTGAGGAGTCTTTAGAATTCTTCGATACCAATCAAGCGTTGGCATAACGAAAAGTAGCGTGTTATGTGTATTGTATATATGCCACAAGATGACTATATGCAGCGTACATGGTGGAGCCTATTTGATAGGACAACCT